ATTTCTATCAGCCTGATAAAATCAGACTTTTATCACCCTCCCCTCCACGAGGCTGACCCGCAGCAGCTTTTTCTCAAGTCCTTCCAAAAGAAAGCGCCATCATCGCTGAAAACTGCTCAGCATCCAGCTGGCAAGGGCGGGGGTCCATCAACCATTTGGTTTCCTTCCTGACCTTTCTGAAAGCATCTAATTCCCCGAAAAATGTTGCGGACAATTTTCTTGGCTTCTTCAGTATCCTACCACTTTAATTTTTTTTTTTTTTGTAAAAAATTTAGCGATTTTTTTTTTGTTGCTGTTGCTGTTGGTTTGTTTGGGTTGTTTTTTTTTTGGGTTTTTTTTTTTTTTTGTTTTCGTTTGGTTTTTTGTTTTGTTTTTGGTTTTGGGTGGGTTTTTTTGTTTTTGTTTTTGTTTTTGTTTTCTTCCTGAAAACCATATAAATTCCCCTTGGTCAGCCCAGAAGAATAAATTTTTCAAGAAAATGTCATTAACGCACTAATAAGAGTGTGGGCAGCTGCTGCCTGATTTTTGCAACCACCCTCCCGGGGTAAGGGAGCACTTTGGAACAGCTTTAAACTGGATGAAAGTAGATTTAGATGGGATATTAGGGAGAAATTCTTTCGTGTGGGTGTGGTGAGGCCCTGGCACAGGGTGCCCAGAGAAGCTGTGGCTGCTCCATCCCTGGAAGTGTTCACAGCCAGGCTGGACAGGGTTTGGAGCAACCTGGGATAGTGGAAGTTGTCTCTGGACATGGCAGGGGGTGGAATTGGATGATCTTGAAAATCCCTTTAGACCCAAACCCTGCTGTGATTCTGAACTCTGTGCCCACATTCCAGGCTGATAAACCAAGGCCACACTGGAAAGTGCTGCAGATGAAGCTGCCCTGACATGAATGGAGCACAATGTGTGGCTGCACCTACACAGAGATGTACACACAGCTCCCAGCCACCCTCTCCCAATTTCCAACCGTGCAAAGAATTCCTGGATGTGTGACTGGGATCCCACCAGGCATCTCCCCCCCCTCCCTCCACTGCACATCCAAAGGAGAGGATGTGTGTTGCACTGAATGTAGGCAAGAACGTGACTGGTCCTTCCCTTCCAAGTTTCCTTTAGAGGGAATCAAATAAATAAATTCAAAAAAGAAAAGGCATTAAAAGAGGAGGGTGAATCATGGCTTAGTCAGAGTTGGTGCTGGCATTTTGATGACAGGGAAGGCTGGCTGGTGACCAGTAGGTTCTTCCAAAGGGGATGGAGAATGAAGTCTGGAGCTGTTATTTTGGGATGCATCCAGAGCCTAATGCCACTGTTCAGGATGGGTTGCTAGGTGAGTTTGACGTTGGAGCAGCAGTGGAACAAAAGAGGGAATTGTGAGGTTTTAGTTGTGGTGTTTCAGAGAAGTTTGAAGACTGTAAACCCCATAAGAGGTGGGTATTCCATTCTCACAGAAATGGGGTTTTCCCCCTTCTCTTCCAGACTTTCCCTTTTTGTACTTCCCTCTCCCACCTCTCTGGACCTGCTGCATGAATCCTTTGGATTCTTAAGGTCAAATTTTTTTCTCATCTACCCCCGTGACTTTCACATTTCAAACCCTGGCATTACATTTATGCCCCTGTCCCTTCTCATTTATTAAATATCTGCCAGTTCCTGACTGGGGTATGTGTGGCTGGTTGATTCCTGCCTGCACCCTCTGTGCCACAGCGTGGGACAGCATCACTGCCTGTCCCATGCCCCCTGTGCCTGTGGTGGCTCTCCAGGAGCTGAAACATCTTCCTGACAGCATTCAGGCTGCACCAGTGACTTGATTTCCTGAAAAATCGCTGAGCTAAGCACCCCTTTGGGCTTCTTATCACAGCAGCTGCCAGCAGCATTTTATTTACCACTCCAGATGCTATTTTTAGGAAGCTGGGATTTTGCATAGCACAATTTGGGAGGGGGGAAAAATAATCCTGTGAGTGCACCTAGTGCTCCCTGCCCTCTCCCCAGGGTGCAAGTGCCTTAAAAATAGAAATGCTTCTTCCAGCTGACCTCCCTGGGAGCAGCTGGGTGCTGGTGCCTTTGAAATCCAGGCCACTTATTTAGGAGTTGAAGCTTTCCGCTCCAGTTATTTGGGAGTTTCTAAGCCAAGAGTTACTAGGTGGATCTAATTTGAAGCGACTGTGATTTTAATTCAGGCAGGGTTTCGCTTTCGGGCTCCTTTTCATGTCGTGGGGGTGGTGATTTGTGAGGTGGGAAAGAGCCGTGGAGAGGGGAGAGAGCTGCTGGGGGAAGGGGGATGATGATGATGCCCGAATTCCTTGTCCTGTAAAATCATGTGAATTTTTGTCCTCCTTCTGACTCATGCTCTAGCTGGGAAGCAGCTTTGGGTTGCCCTGCATGTGAAAAGGATTTGGGGATTTTGTGCAGAGTGGTCCAGGGAGGGCTGTTGTGCCTCACTCCCATCCCATCCTTGCCAACTGGAGCACTCACAGCTCTCTCCCATCTTCCTTCCCACACCCCGAATCTCTGGTTCTTTTCCAGCTCACTCATAGTAGCTTTTTTTAAAATTTCTTTTTAATTTTTTTTTTTTTTTTACTTTTTGCCTATGAATATTTTTTCCCTTGTGTAGGAGAGGGAAAGATTGTGCACTTTTTTACTTCATCTTGGCTCCATGTAAGGAATTAGCCAGAAATATCCTCCTTCTAAATGCGTTATAAGAATACAAGCCTTTGCTTCCAGAGAAGGAAAATGCCCTAAGTAAAAAAAGATTATTGAACATTTTAGGTATCTGAGATGCTCCTTATCAGGCTTTAAATTGTGAAGCAAAATTTGCTGTATTGAACACTATCAAAGCAGATGCTCCCACCTCTACAGCTCTTCCCACCCGTGACACAATCCCACATTTCCCTGCTGTGGCAAATTCCCAAAATCCTTCCAAAGAAACCCCTCCATGACAGGTGGGATCATCTCCATCAGTGCTGGGGGACAAGGGGGTTTGGGCACCTGCATGTTTGGGGTTTGGGTGTCATCACAGGAATTTCCAGGGTGGTCCCAGCCCCTCCATGCTGCAAACAGAGGCTGTGTGGGGGTGTCAGCATTGCTGGGGTGCAGTTTGCAGCCTAATTTAGAGTGGAAATATAACTTGCAGGAACCTGGCGAGTGGATTAAGACATTTAATAAACTAATAAAAGAACCATATTACTATTATTATTATTATTATTATTATTATTATTATTATTATTATTATTATTAATTGTATATTATCATGACATAATTAAGAACAATTAAATTAAGAGTAAAATGAAAAAATAATAAAAATAAGAACATAATTTTATGAAAACAGATGATAAATAAGAGTAAAATGAAAAAATAAATAATAATGAAAAAATAAAATGAAATAATGAAATAATAAAATAATGAAAAAATTAAAAAATTAAAAAATAAATAAGAGTAAAATGAAAAAATAATAAAAATAAGAACATAATTTTATGAAAACATTAAATAATAAATAATGACTCTAGATTATTAAATTAAAATAATATTAAAATTTTAAAAAAATTATTAAAAATTAGCTTTAGCGCCCGTTTGAGAGCAGAGGCTCCCCGCGGAGCATCCCCAGCTCTGCGGCCGCTCCAGCCGGCCCCGGGCCGCTGCTGGCGGAGGACGCGGGGCGGCCCCGGCGCGGAGCGGCCCCGCCCGGGCGCGGAGCGGGGCGGAGCAGCCGCGGTGGCCGCGGGCGGAGGCGGAGCCGCCGCATCCCGGGCATCCCCTCCGGGGGAGGCGGCGCGGCACCGCATGTGCGACGTGAGCGACGTGCAGGAGCGCAGGGCCGGCATCCCCCGGCCCCCCGGGACCCCCCGGCATCCCCCGGGACCCCCGGCCCGAGCCCGCTGGCCGCGGAGTGAGGGGCGCAAGGGGCGCGCCGGCGGAGCCCCCCGCATCCCACCGCTGTTGTACTAAGGGTTCCTTTCTCTATTTTTTCCCCCCTCTATTTTATTTTTAAAAATTGGTTTTATTTCATTTGCCTCTAGTTATTTTTTTAAATTTGATTTTTTATTTTGTTCAACTTTATTCCCAATTTTTTTCTAGTTTATTTCCTTTCCCCCTTCTAATTTTCGCCTCTATTCCCTATTTTATTTTCTTAATTAATTTTTAATAAATATTTTTTCCTCTTCGCATCTTTTACTCCTTTTTTTTATTTTTAAAGTATTTTTTAAAAAGTTATTTCTTGTCGAGTTTCTATTTTCCTTTTAGAAAAAAATTAATTCAATTTCTATAATTTTACATCATTTTACATCATTTTACATCGTTTTACATCGTTGGTCGAAAAGACGCGAGAAATGAAGTAGGGCATTTATTTAACCATACATATTTTAGTCTGGGGGTCCCCTGCGCGCCCCAAATTCCCGCGGTGGGGGAGGGCTCGGTGTCGCGCTCCCCCCGCGGAACAAAGCGCGTCCTTTGTCCGCGCTGCAGTGCGGGGCGCGGCCGGCAGGGGGCGGCAGGGGCCGCGCCGGCATCCGCGCCTTCATCCTCCTCCACCTCCTCCTCCTTCTCCTCCCCATCCTCCTCCCTCCCATCCTCCTCCTCCTCCTCCGCGGCGCCGCAGCGCCCGCCCGGCCCGGCCCGGCCCGTCCCGCCCCGCCCCGGAGGCGGTCCCGGCCTGTCGGGATAGAAAGAGGCGGCGCGGCGGCTGCCGGCACATCGTGAGCGGAGACGGCCAGAGCAGCAGCCGCGATTGTAGCACCGCTCCTTCCCCGCCTGCCTCGCGTGGAGATTCTCCTGCCTTTCTTCTCTTGCTATTTTTTTTTTCCGATTTCAAAGGAAAGATATTTTAATTTTTGATTTATTTTTTTAAAAATATCTGTATTTTTTTCCACCCCGCTTTCCATCGCGGTTCGCAGCGGGGCTCGCCTTCGCTCCCTCTCAGCGCGCAGCGGCTGCGCTGGGGCCATTCCTGCCCGGCTTTGTGCCCTGCAGACCCGGCCCTCCTCTTCCTCCTCCTCCTCCCCCTCCTGCCGTAAAACCTTCACGAGGCTCGCAGCAGCATCCGAAAGCGCCGCAGCCGCTCGCCCAAACCACCGACTGCAACAAAACCCCTTTTTATTATATTTTTATCGTATATTTCCCCCGCCTCCTCCCCCCTCCCCTTTTTTATTTCTCCTCCTCCCTCCCTCAAACGCATCAAGGTGGACGCGGAGCGCAAAAAGACCTTTGTTTTAAAAATGCCCATGGAGCTGACGCAAAGCCGCATCCAGAAGATTTGGCTTCCCAATGACAACCGCCCGGCGCTGCCCCGCCGCTGTGAGTACGGGCACGGCAGCATCCCGGAGGGATGGGATGGGATGGGATGGATGGGGAGCGGAACTCTCCCGTTTCTCTGCGCACCGCGGCGGGGCTCTTTGCAGCATCCCTTCTCCTCGGCGTGCCCCAGCATCCCGGCGGTGCCCGCGTCCCCCCAGCCCCAGCATCCCGGCGGTGCCCGCATCCCAGCGCTGCCATCCCGTGACTCAGTCTCGGCAGGGCAGGAAGGTGCATTCCGCTGTCACATGGCCCCGCAGGATGCGGGGAGGTGCCGGCACACGCGTGGCCCCATTTCCACTCTGCGCTGCCAGCGCTGGGATTAAAAGGGAAGGAGGGAGCAGGTTGTTCACCTCGCAGCCGGGGTGCCAGCTCAGCTGGGATTTGCGCCGTGCTCGAGCGGCTCGCCCGGGGATTTGTTAATGGTAGAAGCATGAATGGTTGGGGTTGGAAGGGACCGTAACGATAATCTCGTTCCACAACCCTCCTGCCATGTGACAGGACGCCTTCCACTACACCAGGTTGCTCCAAATCCTGTCCAATTAGCGTGTTAAATTAATTTATTTGGGGGAGGTGGAGGAAGGATTAGGGCAATGTATTTTAAACCCCAACCAGACACCAGCCGTTCGCAGTTTACCATTTAACCCTGAGGGGATGAGGAGGCAGGTGGAGGGGAAGGCAGAAATCAGCGCTGAAACTTCTGCAGTGGTTTCCCCTTGTCTCTGAAGCTCGGAATATAAAAATGTTTGGGTCATCCCGGTCTTACTATAAACCAAATCTCGACTCGTGATCCCATCCGAAAGCTCAGGAAGCAGCTCTTTAGCAGCCACACTGACAAGCTGCCGGTTGTGCGACTCGCAGCTCGAAATGAGCCTCCAGGAATGTGCGGAGCCGGGATGGAGGGGGCGGCACTCGCAGCCTGGCGAGGGATGGAAGTGGCTTGGGTGAATCAGTCTTTCCGCTGCTTGCCTTCATCAGGCGTTTAAAGTCGCTTCCGATGTTTATTTACCTTGGCTGGAAAGTTTATATATAATAACTATTTTAAAAAATAGATATGCTGTGAAGTTGCCAGCTGCTGTTGCCCGTGGCTGTGGGTCAGGCGCCCTGGAGCAGATGTTGGGATGCGCAGCCTGTGCCTGGCAAGGGCGGCCCTGCAGCGGGAGCTGCCGAGGAGATGGGATTTCAGCAACAGGCTGCACATCTGGGTAGCCCAGGGGCTTCGCTTGGAGTGGGGTAAAACGTCTCCCGGCTTAATGCTTTGCACGTGTGTCTCTGCGGCTGGGTTTTTCTCAAGGACTGGCACCTCTGAAAGAAGTCCCTTGTGCACGCAGTGGTTTTTTGCCACTTCGTTCGCCGGGTTTCTCAGCGAGAGCTCCCTTTTGGTAGCGGAAAAAGCTAACATATTTGATCTATTAAGGCACCGAGGGGATTATTAATAACATAATGTGGCTTGTAATTATATTTTCTTGGGGTGGGAGCGAGTTACGCTGTGAGAAGAGGCTTTTTAGGCTTTTTTTAGCTGACTCTTTTTTTAACTCGGGGTATTTTAAACAGCGATGTGCTGTTAATTCCTCAGCAGCAACAAAGAGCGAGGGCTGCAAAGCCGGGCGGGAGGGAAGGGAGGGATAACGGAGACCACTTCCAGCGTGATGCCTGGAGGGAGCGGGAGCATCCTCCGGGAATGGCGCATCCCGGGTGTGAAATAACCAGTCCGATGGTGTGCTGGCTGGTCCAGGGGAGGCTGCAGGGACTCCTCCAGCTGCCCTTTTGACGGCGATCCATTAAATTGCTGTCACGCCGCACGTCTCTCACGTAGGGGCTGGGAAAGCGGAGCCCTCGAAGGCGCTGGCTGGGCAGAGCCGGGCGAGGGGAGGGGGATGCTCCGGCAGGGAAGGGGCTGCCGCTGCCTCTCCCCATCCTTGGGGCTGCTTTTTCCCCTCCCTGGGGCTCGGTGGGGGTGGCACACACGGCGGGGACGGTCCCGTTCGGTGGCGGGGACAGCGGTGGGGAGCGCGGGGTCAGGGAAGGTGCTGGGATTGCAGCTGGGAAAAGGGGAATGGGACTGACAGAACGGGCAGTCTGGGCTTGGGGGGGGGGTTTCGGGAATATTTAGGAGGAGAGAGTGAAAATGTCTGAAGTGGGGAGGTGGCTGTTTTATCCGACTTGTTATAGAAGCAAATTTCCTTCCCTTTTGGGCTGGGTGTTCTTTTTTTTTTTTTTTCCCTCCTTTTTTACCCACTGGTGAAGCTGACTTTCTGGCAAATAGCAAAAGTGATAAGCTCCTGTTAAATACCCTCCGACTGAGCCTGAAAGTCATCCCTGCCCTTGACTTACCTGGCTAGATGTCGATAAGGAGTAATGAATATGTATTGAAATCCCTGATAGCTTCCCAGCAGTGGTGAAAAGAAATGATGAATGAGGCCTTTGTGAAAGACTGGGAGCAAAACACTGGGTTCTGTTTCATCCCTGATGCGAAGTTTCCCGGAGACTTTTGGTTTGGGCTCAGATTCCTGATGAAAAGTTGCTCTCGCTGATGGGAGGTGCTGTTCCATGGTGCTAGGGCAGCAAAAATTCCAAATTCGGGGTGTTTAACTCTTGCAGCAGCCTTTGGAGGTGACACGTGTGTGCCCACACAGTGCCAGCCCTGCTGCTGTCACAGCTGTCTGGAGCCACAGGGACACGAACAGTGCCCAGCATTGTCCCTTTACTCTTGGAGTGCTATTTAATGGCCCTAAATCCTCTTAGCTCTGCTCTTTGAGATCCTTTGTCCACTGACAGGTAGGGAAAGGAAGAGTTTCCTTATTCAGGTATTATCCCTTCCTCCTTCCTTTATCTAATGATTGTGGGGGTTTTATGCAAAGCAGACTTGCACCCATAGCTAGGATGAGGATGTGAGATGGTTAGAGGGGGGAAAGTGTTTTTCTTGGTATGTTGCACAGCTCCCTTGTGCCTCAGCACAGAAAATTGGCATTTGATGCCAAAATCTTTGGGAGCTGCCCTGGGGTTTTGAAATGCAGCACTGGGCAGGAGGCAGGTTGCACAAAGGGAGGAGGGAGTGAGGGCAGCTCCAGCCTGGGGAATGAAACAAAAAAAAAAAAACCAACTATATTTTAGGTAGTTTTTTTATCCCTTGCCTGCTGAGTTTGCTTTGGTGAGAAATTTGGGAAGATGATGGGTGGCTCTTCTCTGCCATCTGGGTACCAGTGCCATAAATCTTCCTTGTGGCCTTAATTTGGTTTCTCCAGGTACTGGATTTATTTTCCTAGAAGGGGAAGGTGATCCCATGTGCTTTGCATGTTCTATGGGTTCCCCTCAGTTTGTTTGCCCTTTCCAGAGCCACACTGACAAAAACCTTCCCCAGCCCTGTGTCCATCCCAGGGAGCCCCTGGCATCCCCTGGTCCCACCTTGAGGCAGCTGTGGCAGGCAGGCAGAGCTCTCCACCCAGGCCATAATTAAGCTGGGTTTTATGGCTCTGCCACCAGCCACTCACTCCCTGCATTCCTTTCCTATGAGGTCTCTGTGCTCACCGGAGGGATGGAAGAGTGGGTGAGAAATCCCCTGCAGGGTCCCATCTGTCCTGCAAATGCTGCCAATGGGTTTTCCTTCCAGCTGTTTGACATGGACCCTCTTCACCACCACAACAAAATACCCAAAACCAAACAAAACAAAAAACAAACAAAAAAAAAGAATCCCAACAACCCAGCTTGGGTTTGTGAGGAAAAAAAAAAGGATAAATCACTTGGATATCTGCTTTTAAATGCTGCTAGTTCTGTGGTTCTCTTGCCTTGTTTGTCTTCAGAAAATCCAGTTAGCTGGCTCTTTATCAGCTGGAAATCTAGTCAAATATTTTAGGAGATGCTTTCTGTGGGTGAAGATCTGGACCAGACCTGGTATTTCAGCACAGACACTGCTGCAGGGATGGGTCCAAAGTCCTTGGCTATCCTTGAGCTTTTCATGGGATTGCCAAGCCATTGGAATGTGAAGTTGTGCTTGCCTTGAGTTTGAATTTTATTTTTTGAATTATTTTTTATTTGAGTTGCAAATGTGGAAATTGAGGCACCGAGGCTCTCCAGGGAGCCTGGGCCAGCTGCTGGCTCCTTGCCTACTTTGCACCCATCAGGATGTTCTTGCTGTGGCTTTCATGTTTCCTCCAGCTGCTGAAGGACTTGGAAGGAGTCCAGATGAAAACAAGTGCCTTGTTGGGTCAATGCAGGCTGAGCTGGAGAATTAACAGCTCCTGTTCTTTTTCCTTGCAGCCTGTGGGCCTCAGCTTGCCAATTCCCCCACTGTGATAGTCATGGTTGGCCTCCCAGCCCGTGGCAAGACCTACATCTCCAAGAAGCTGACTCGCTACCTCAACTGGATCGGTGTCCCCACAAAAGGTAAGGCCTGCACTGGCTGCCAGGGGAAAGCAGCAGGTCTGGTTCTCAGGAATTCTTCTAGATCACTGCTATGGGAGATTGGAGTTAGTGGGAGATGTTTCCAAGATTCCACAGGCCGAATATAAATATCTGTCTTTTCGTATCCTGGGTTCTCCTTCATGTTGAAGACCAAGGGGTGCCCTGAGGATGTAATTTTGTGGCCCCAGCTTGCTTTAACTGCAGAAGGTACACAACTGGGTCATGCCCCTCATTTTGATGGTTTGTTTTTTGCTTTTCTCACCTAGTTTTCAACGTTGGGGAGTATCGTCGCGAGGCCGTGAAGCATTACAGCTCCTATGACTTCTTCCGTCCTGACAACGAGGAAGCCATGAAAGTCAGGAGGTGAGAGTGGGCTCCCTGACCCCACATGGTGCTGAGGCCCATGGCTGGGAGCAGAGTTACCCAGTTTGGGGGTGATGAACACAGAAGTTGGGCTCTGAATTTCCCCCTCGACTTGAAATTCGGAGTTGGGTTCTCAATTTCCCCTGCCTGCTCAAGGAGGATTCTGAGGGCTCAAAACTGAATCTGTACAGGATTGGTGACTTCAGGGTGACCACCACACCCTGAGGACACCAGGGCCACACGTCTGTCCCCTCTTTTGCAGGCAATGTGCCATGGCTGCCCTGAGGGATGTGAAGCTGTACCTGACGGAGGAGGCCGGGCAGATTGCGGTGAGCTCCAGATGTGCTCTGGGGTTTGGCAGCTGTGCTGACCCCAAAAGTCCTCTGCAGCCCCTTCTCTGAGGAGGGGCTCTCTGGGAAACCAGGCCCTTGTGGTGCTCATTGAGATCTTTTGCTTTTAAAGGTGTTTGATGCCACCAATACCACAAGGGAGAGGAGAGGGATGATCCTAAACTTCGCCAAAGAGAACGGGTTCAAGGTTGGTGCTGTGGGGCTGATGCCTGCATTGTGAAGTCCACTGTGGTGTAGAGTTGGTGTATCTTGTCTAACTCATGTGTCATCCTCATGCTGCTCCTGTCTGAGGGAGATTTCACTGCTGGGTTTGATTAAAAACACGAAACTTGTCCTTAATTCCCTGTAGTGAGCCATGGGGAAGGGAAGGATGGGAGTGGGGCAGAGGGAGCGCTCTCTGGTCCAGCAGGGAGGAGCTTGGGTTGAGCAAGCAGCTGGCTGAATGTTACAAACCTTGTTTTGGTGGCTTTCAGCTGAGCTCTGCTTTGCTTCACAGGTGTTCTTCATCGAATCTGTCTGCAATGATCCTAACGTGGTTGCCACCAATGTTATGGTAAGTGTGGAACTGGTGGGAATGTCCTGCTTTGGCTTTCCCTCCATAGAGAGGTAGGGATGCCATCACCTTCATAAGCTCTGGTCTTCGTGGTGGGATTCAACCACTCTGGTATCTGCTGGAGGGACAGCACAGCATGGCACTGCCAATCCAGGAGGTTCCTGGAGTGTGTTGGTGACTTCCCTCTCCAAGTGACAGCACCTCTCCTTGTTTGCTCTGCGCTGCACCTTGTTGTCACCAACAAGGAGGGGCTGGTGAGGAATGTGAAGCTCCAGGGCAGCCTGTGCTGCAGCAGCTGTGAAGTGAGATGTCAGGAGAGCAGATTTTGGCCTGGAGTACTGTGGGATAAAAAGCCCAGGAGGGAAGAGAGGAGCCCAAGAAAAACTGGTTCATGTTCAAGGATCATCTTCTCCAAGTGATGCAGCCATCAAAAATGCCAGGATGAACAAGGAGTTCCTGGACAAACTCAAACTCAAGCACTAAAAGGAAGCCTACAGAGAGAGGATGGAAGCAGGGACAGGCAGCCTGGGAGGAACACAGAGATTGTCTGAGCAGCCAGGAATTGGGTTGGGAAAAACAAAGCCCTGACAGATCTGGGGGCTACAGGTGCAGTCTCACATCAGTGTTTGGGAAGATAATGGAGCAGATCATCCTGGAAGCTCTGCTGAGGCACATGGAAGATGAAAAGGTGGTTGGTGACAGCCAGCATGGCTTCACTGGAGGCAAATTTTGCTGCCTGACAGGGGGTGAAGAGTGTCTTTTGCTCCTGCTGGGAGCTGTTATCCCAGTGACCAACTTTTTGAGAGGTTGCATGCAGCCTTTTCTACAACAAAATGCTCAGTTTGCTAGGTTTTTTTTTCCCAAGCTGGATTTTTTTTGAGGATTTTAATCCCTTTATTTGGAAACTAATGCTTGAAGGGTGAGAAAATCAGCTCCTAGCTGAGCATGGGATTTTGCTCCACAGGGAACTGCAGATGAATGGTGCTCTTAGTGCTGGGATCAGTGTGGAAAATGCACCCCAGGGCTGGGATGCTGCCACATGTGTTGATCCATTGTGTTATCCTGTTGGTTTCAGGACTGCTTGTGAAGTTACCAGTGTGTAATGCTGCTGTTCAAACCCAAATCTTCAGGAAAAGCAGCCTGTTAGATTAGTTCAGGCAGGAATTAGCCCACGAGGGTTGTGGATATTCACACTGCCTGTTTCTAGTGTCTTTCAGCCCAACAGCTTGCAGCAAATAATGCACAAAAAGAGGTTGAATGTTGCCATCCCACTGTCCTGATGCTGAGCTGGGATAAGCAGCTTGTCCAGTTCATGCACTTCCCTTTCTCAGCTTGAATTTGAACCTGATGGGGTTTTTTAGCCATTAGGAAGCTCAGTTTTCCTTGCTGTTGGGTGGTGAAGTGCTAGCCCAACTTCTGGGAGAATGGGAGTGGATTGATGGGTGTCTGTACTAATCAGACAATGGTTGATACCAAATTCTCCCACCTGATGCTTGGTTTTGGGTCTAATTTGCTTCTTTTCTGCCCTGTGATGAGTGATGACTGTAAAGTACTCATCACTTTAGTTTCAGCTAATCACTGGATCTTGGCAGGACTTTGAAATTCCAGATTAGCATTGTCTGGCTTGGAAAGCTTCCTAACCTCCTTGTGGCATGTTTTTTTTTTTCTTTCTGTTGCAGGAAGTCAAATTGTCCAGCCCAGATTACCGGGACTGTAATTCCACGGATGCCATGGAGGATTTCATGAAGAGGATCAATTGTTACCAAGCCAGCTACCAGCCCCTCGACCCTGATGACTATGACAGGTAAGGGACCTTGACTTCTGAGCTGCCTTGAGCACCTGCCCTCTCCCAGGAGAGGAGCAGTGAAGGGTGGAGCTCTATTTCACTTTGGATTTCACTTCAAACTGTGCTAGAATGATTTATGGCCAGGCCTCAGCTTGAATTTAGGCCTTTCATCGGAAAATGCTGCTTTCCCCAGGCCCTGTGCCAGGGAAATGGGCACTGATGCTTTGCCAGGCTCTTCTGGGCTCAGATGAGCTGTTTTCAACCTTGTTCTGCAGGTCTAGATACAAAGGCTTTGGGAAAGCTCTTGAGGTGGAGTGGTTGAGGTGCTTTTTTCACTGTCTCAGTTAAAGGAAGGAACTGCTTGGCTCCAAGCACAGGATTGAGCAAGCCCTGTGGCTCCTGCCTGGTGGCTGTGTGCCTTGGGAGAGCTTTGCTGTCCTGCCTGACTCTGCAGGCACCTCCCAGCCTCTCCACTGCTCACAAACACCTGTGTGTGTGTGTGCCCTGTGTGGATTGTCCCTGTCCTGGGGAGGAGCATGTTCCCTGTTAGTCCTGGTTAATCCTCTTTGCTGCTGCAAGAGGAGGGGTGGTGATTACACTGCTGCTATTCAGCTCTCCATGAATCCCCATCACCTGTTGGCTCCCTGCTGAAAATAGCCTGCAGGAAATCCTTTGAGCTGGCTGATTACATGGACAGAGATAACTCACAGGGCTGCTTTGGAGAATGACAGGAAAGCAGGAAAAGGGAAAAGTACTCCCTGGAGAAATTGTAAACCTCTGTGATACTGGGGAAACCAGAAGGAAGCAGCTACAAAAGAATCATGCAGGTTGAAACCGTGCATGATGCTACATCTGGTATCACAGCCCAGATGTTTTCAGCTGGTGTTAACTGAAGTGACATTTATAAAGGTTATAAGTGCCTGTGCCAGAAGAGAGCCTGAAAATCCAAAGCAGAATATTGAAAAGAATATATTTTTTCATGTTGGCCACTCTTTTAATATCTATATTAATTATTTCAGTATATTGTAATATTTTGTTTTGTTTTAATCAATGCAAATGATGTGGGATTGTGATCATTTTTATTTTAAAAAATAATACTAAATAAGCTGGAGGAATGAATTGAAATTGTGAAATTACTTAATTTTTCTTATGCTCCCTGTCACAGAAGCAATATGGAGCTATTGGGCAAAAGAAATCAAGATCCTTAACCTGTGCATTTTATTCGTTAAGATTTTCATCTCTGTTCAAAGATAAAATTTATCTTTTTGTCCTTTCAAGAAAAATAATTTTATGGAAAAGAGGAAAGACAGAAGAATGAAAAGCAGGAAGTTCTTATTTTGCAGACTTGAGGGGTCTGAAGTAGAATCAGACCTTATCATTACAGAAAGGATGAGAAGTTATTAAGAAATATTGGACTTATGTATTGAATACATATAAATATATACGAATATATAAAAAATATATAAATATATATGTAATGGGTATAAATATATATGAAATAGGTATAAATATATACAATATATATAAATATATAAAATATAAAAGATATATAAATGTATATAAATTTATATGGAATGTATATTAAAATATATAAAGACATAAAAATATATAAATATATTTGTATAAATAAATATATAAAGTATATAAGTATATATTTATATATACAAATATATAAGAATATATGACTATATACATTTTATATACATATATACACACATCTAGATATATCTAGATATAAATATCTAGATATATATAGATATAGATATATCTAGATATTTATATCTAGATATATATAGATATAAATATATATAGATATTTATATCTAGATATATAGATATAAATATATGTATATAGATATAGATATTGATAGATATATGTGAATATATAGATATAGATACACCATAGACAGTCTCTGTCTGTCCCCAGGGAACTTTCTCTCATCAAAGTCATCGATGTTGGCCGGAGGTTCCTGGTGAACAGGGTCCAGGACCACATCCAGAGCAGGATTGTTTATTACCTGATGAACATCCACGTCCAGCCCCGCACCATCTACCTCTGCCGGCACGGGGAGAGCGAGTTCAACCTCAAGGGCAGGATTGGAGGCGACTCTGGCCTCTCCAACAGGGGCAAGAAGGTGAGGGAGAAGGAAAATGTCCCCCTGTGGCTGTAGTAGAGGCTGTGCCTTTGGGTTAAATGTGTGAGGAATGGTTACTCATAGTTTAGGAAGGTTTATTAAACATTATTGAAAATACAACAGAAAACTGAATAGAGAAATAAGGTTACGGTGCTGGGAGCAAAGGATTTTCCCTGCCATGTGCTCAGCCCCCTCACAATGGAGGCTTTCCCTTTTTAACCCCTCCCAAAGTTCTGTCCATCGACCCCTTCTTTGCTACTTTCCTACTTTGGAAACAGAAGTAGAACAAGAGAAAAGTGGCATTCCCACTGGTTTTGGCATTGTGGTGCAGTGAACCAGCTTGCACAGGTTGCATTTGTAGTATCAATACAATTAAACCTCAGCTGCCACAAACAGGGCTGCAGGTTTAGCTGGGGCACAAACACTTCTCTCCAGCTTTGAGTCACGAGAAGGTTTTCCATGATTCCAGCAGCCTGCACCCTGAGCAGTGTGGGTTTGAGGTTCATCTGCTGAAGAACCTGTTCCTTGGCTGGAATGCACTCTCCAGCTCCTCAGGAACAGACCCAGCTGTTATGTCCTGGACACTGCAGTTGTGAGGGATCTGTTTCTTTTGTCTCCTGGATGTGCACTTTCCATTTGTCCAATGTGAAAGCAGCCACTCTGAGAACCTGACCTAGCATCTGAGAATCTGATGGATTCTCTTTGCAACACCCCAGATATTTACTCCACCTTTGCTGTCCAGTGGTGGAGATCTCTTCCCCAAATCCTGATTGGAGGTCAGGTGTCACCACAGTGACAAGCCAGCCCTCCCAGATGTCCCTTGATAACAATGCAAGGGGGTACAACATAACTATAAATCTATAATACTTTTCTTAACCTATATGCATGATATTTGTCTGTTAATTGTGAGAGTCAATCATTACTCATCTATCAGAAATGCATGTTTGGTGACAGCTGGGCTGCTGAGGGTCCATCTGTAGCTCTTGGGGATCAATGAATGTGTGGCTGCCCTTCCCCTCAGAGCAGGAGGCTGATCTTCCTGCCTGTGGAAGGCAACACTTACTGGGAATAGGGAACAAAGGACGCTGTGGACCACGAATCAACCTCTTCTTTTCTATGTCTCACAGTTTGCAGTGGCACTGAACAAATTTGTGGAAGAGCAGAACCTGAAGGACCTCAAAATTTGGACCAGCCAGCTAAAGAGGACAATCCAAACAGCAGAAGCTCTCCAGCTGCCCTATGAGCAGTGGAAGGCACTCAATGAGATCGATGCCGTGAGTATCTGTGCAGCCACAGCAGCTGGATGGGGCTGGTTGTTGCTGAACAAGAGAAAATGAGGTTTTGCCTGGTGGCTGTGCTGAGAGCATGTCCAGTAACCTCGTGCTTGTCCTGCCCTGGCAGGGTGTGTGTGAAGAAATGACCTATGAAGAAATCAGGGAGCAACACCCAGAGGAATTTGCTCTGCGTGACCAGGATAAATATTACTACCGTTATCCTTCAGGGGAGGTAGGTGTGCAGGGACACCTCCTGCAAAGGCTGCAGGACTTGTACTTTAAATGTGGCCTTTTTTTCCCTCATTCTGTCCCCTACTCTTGAGCAAAGGAGCAGTGGGAGCTCCAAGAAGCTAGAATTAAGAGAGCAGGGCTCATGTTTGCCTCTACCTTGAGCTCTTTCAAAATCTTGCTATATGAAGATCTCACTAAGAAATATGTCACTTAACAAACAGTCCCACTGACTTTATAGCAAATTAGCATGGAAAGGTCTCTGGAGGTTTCTATTCCAACCTCCATCATTATATCTGCTCACAGTTTTGTGCTGCCCTAATTTTCTTTCCTTTAATTTCCAAAAAAAGCAATTTTCACCTTGTTCTCAGTATCATTCCCTAAGGGTTGATGGTAATATCTCTGTTCCTGGCAGTCTGCTTTCAGGGTGTGACACAATGAGGTGGGAATTGACATCAGTTCTGGATGGTACTTTAGGCTGTGAATTGAGCTAATTATCCTCAAATTGAGAGTCTTGCCCATAGACATTTCAGAAAAATCTTTGGAGACATCCTCATGACCCTGTATCTAACAGAAGAATATGTGGGGATATCAGACACCAGCTCTGGGTTTCTGGGGCTCCTTCTGGCTGCCTGTCATGGTTTTTATGAGGCCCTTCAAAACCCTAGGGTTTCTCAGGTTGCTCCAGACTTCTCAGAACTTTCAAATCCTGTACCAAATAAAATATCAAGATGATGGAGAGGCTCTATCTTCAAAGCCCTTGTTGTTTACCTTAATTCTCCAGGCCTGAGCTGTGATTCACTGAGATGTGCATGGCTCCTTCTCTGCCAGAAGAATTAGAAGTTCCAAAGTAGCCTGGGGATGAGGGTTTATTTGTCTTTAGCAGTTTGTTGGTTTGCTCAGAGGCACGGAATCAGGAGGTGTACCAAGACAAGGACTCTTGTTTCTTTGCACTGATTTCATGCCTCACCTCCCTTCCCTTCTTTCCCAGTCCTACCAGGACCTGGTGCAGCGCCTGGAGCCAGTGATCATGGAGCTGGAGAGGCAAGAGAACGTCCTTGTCATCTGCCACCAGGCTGTCATGCGCTGTCTCCTGGCCTATTTCCTGGACAAGAGTGCAGGTGAGCTCCCTGTCTCTGGAAGAGGATTTGCCCTGCTGGAGGAGGGATGATGGATGCAGCTCTGGGCTGTTCACATCCTGTGACTGTTCACAGGGGTCTTAGGATGAGGGAAGAGATGAGGATCTGACTCCATGTTTCACAAGGCTTGATTTATTATTTTATATTATTATATAATAATTATATATTATTATATATTAATACATTATAGTATTAATTTTATTAATTATATAGTAATTTATTTATTATAAAATATTTATATTATTATATATTATATATTAAAATATTGTGTATTTTATTTATAAAATATAATATATTATAGAATGATATTTATTTTATTATATATATTTTATTAAAACTATACTAAAAGAATAGAAGAAAAGGATTTCATCAGAAGGCTGGCTAAGAATAGAATAGGAAAGAATGATAACAAAAGCTTGTGTCTCAGACAGAGAGTCCAAGCCAGCTGACTGTGATTGGCCATTAATTAGAAACAACTCTATGAGACCAATCACAGATGCACCTGTTGCATTCCACAGCAGCAGATAACCATTGGTTACATTTTGTTCCTGAGGCCTCTCAGCTTCTCAGGAGGAAAAATCCTAAGGAAAGGATTTTTCATAAAAGATGTCTCTGACAGCAGTGTGCATCTCTTTGGTGTGGGATGAAGGTGTCTGAGCCTCCTGCTCAGGTAACCCTCCTGCTTTGCTGTCTCTGCAGATGAAATGCCCTACCTGAAATGTCCCCTGCACACAGTGTTGAAGCTGACCCCGGTGGCCTATGGTGAGTGAGACCTTCCTAAACATGCCAGGGGGTTGACTTGTGCCTCCTCCTGACTCCAGGCTGCCTGGGGGAAAAGCAGGGATCCGTGGTGGGGCCCTTGGGAACATCCTGTGCCTGCTGGCCCTGCTGATCTGTCCCTTTGTGCTCCTTTCTGCAGGCTGCCGGGTGGAATCCATCTCCCTGAACATTGAAGCAGTCAACACCCACAGAGATCGGCCAGAGGTGAGTGTTGCTTTTCCCTGGAGCTGTCCTGTGGTGTCCCCCTCCTGTCCCCTGTGGTCACCAGGCAGTGGGAACTGCCAAATCCTGCCTGGGGTGGTGGTGGGCATGGGGAGATTGCTCAGCTGGGTGCTTGGAAGTGCTGCTGGAAGACTGGGAGCATCAGATGTGTTCTTGCTCTGCAAAGTCGTGGCCAGCTGAGGGTTTTCCAAGGGAACAGGACTGTTTGCATGTTCCTGCTTCCCTGTGTGTTGGTCCAGGGAAAACTCCTCCCTGGTCTCTGACTTTCACCTGCATGGTCATCTGCTGGCCCGAGCAGGGAGTGGAGCTGTGGATGGAGAAGGTGACTTCTCCCAGGTCTCCCAGCTGGCTGGCAGAGCCTGGGCTCAATGCTTGCCCTGCATCTGCCTCTGAGGGTCTTTTCCTGGTATGCCCGTGGCTCTCTGTCCTTCTGCAGGGTGGGAGGTGGCAGTGCTGGGCTGGGGATGCTCTGTGGAGCAGGCCCCTCCTGTGGAGACAAATTCCTGTAGGGTTGGGTCTGTCTGCCAAGTGCTCCACTGGAGCTCAGAGGGCAGAACAGGAGGATGCAAAGCTCAGTGTCAGGGCTGGGCAGCCACTCAGAGTGGGCAGCACCCATGTCCCAAGATGCTTGGGACATTTCCAACTTGTGCTTAGTGGTGGAGCCCAAAGTGATGCTTTTGGCCCACATCTCCTTTCCTTTGCTTCCCCTGTCTGGTGGCAGCACCTGAGCTGCCTGTCCCTCCCTGCAGCTGTGGGGGGAAGCCAGTCCTTCCCCCTGCATGGGGACACTGATGCCCTGCTCTGCCACCCTCTCTGGGAATGGCAGCAAGGCCTTGGGTAGGACAGGGTGTGACAAGTGCCAAGTGCTTGGGTGCCCCTGCTCAGCTTTGCCTCCATCCCCCCTTGCTTGAGTTGGAGCTTGGCGTGGCGCTGACCCTCGCTGCCTGCTCTGCTCCCATGTCCCAAATCTTCCTGATCAGCCTGGGCTGGCTCACCTTCCCTCTTCTTGCTTTCACTCCTCTCTGGGTGGAGGGACCAGCTTCGAGGAGGAGACTGATGGGCACCTCTGTGTCCTGAAGAATCATGGCTTGTTGGCTGCTGGGTGTGTTCAGCTACCTGTAGTTATTTTTCTTTTTGTCAGCTGAGACTCAGATGAGGAGAAAATCTGTCTCATATCTGAGTGCAGAGCCATTTTTTTTCCTCCCCTCCCCTCTGTGCTCTTAAGCATTTTGCATCAGGGATTTGGTTTTTTTTGTGCCCAGAGACTTTCAGTGCATCCTTTGCTCATGGACAGTGACTATGGGGAAAAACAGAGACCGCTCTAAAATTAAAAAAAAAAGAAAACCAAAGCAACTTGCTTCTTTTTTTTTTCCTTTATAACTGTCGCCTTCTTCCTTTTTCCTTTATTTTGCTTTATTTTTTTATATTTACTTTTATTTTCTTTGTCTCACTTTAATTTAGGAAGCAAAGAAGGGACCTAACCCGCTCATGAGACGTAATAGCGTTACCCCTCTAGCAAGCCCAGAGCCCACCAAAAAACCTCGCATCAACAGCTTGGAGGAGCATGTGGCTGTTTCTCCTGCCCTGCCAGGCTGTGTTCCTCAGGAAGTGCCCACGCAGATGCCGGGACAAGTTAGTTGAACTCTTTTTTTTTTTTTTTTCTTTCCTTTTTTTTTTCCTTTTTTTTTTGTTGTTGTTCTTGTTGTTTTATTGTTTGTTGTCCTCCTGTCACTCCTGAAGCTGAGGAGCTGCTTGCACTTGTCGTAAGCTGTGCTGCTGTCTGAGATGCATCTTCCTCCCATGGCTGCTGCCCCTCCCTGCCTTGGGTCACTGTTGATCCTCTCTTGGGTTTTGAGAGCATCATCAACTTCCACCAAGCTCTAGGCTGCATTAATTTAGTGCCATCAGCCTCCTGAGGGGCTCCTCCCTGGAGTGAGCAGGAGCAAAGGGCTCGTGCCTTGCCTTCCCTCTGGGTGCTCTTGGCTTTGTTGTAGACCTGGCCATGGCAATAAATCAAATGCTCTTGTGCTTCTCTGAAGGAGGAGCTGCTGCCAAGACTCATCTTTGGCTGGAAGGGTCTCCTTCATCCTGGAGACCAAAATTGAATAGAAGGCTCTTGGTGTGGTGAACCTGGGTGAAACCCTGTGGGTGGCTGCCATGGTGCTCATGTGTCCTCTCCTCTGTCACCCACCCATGAAGGGACATCGAAGAGAGGCCTTGCTTTGCTGCTCACTTTCCCAGGCACAAACCCCCCCTCCCAAGCTCACTAAGGAGTCCTATATGATCTATAGGAGCCTTTACCATGCTGCCCTTCCCACCAGCTGCCTGTTGGACCTGGCTGTCTTGCCCAGCCCCTCTCCCTGTTGTCTGTGTTGGTGTGATGTCCCCCTCCTTGCCCAGGTTAGGAATGGCTCTGTGCTCCACCACTGCTCTGCTTGGTTGCTGCTTTGCATGAGCCTCCCAGGACAGCTGGGTCTGTGTCAGCTCCCAGGGCTCTGCTTGGGCTGGTTGAGCCTCACAAAAACCTTTTGCCAGCTCTGGCTGCCCAGTGCCCCTTGCTGCTGCCCACTGTCCTCTGCCCAGTGTGGCACAGAGTTACTGACACCTCTCTCTGTTCTCTCTGTCTCTCTGCAGCCTTTACTAGGGAAGGCATGCCTGTAAGTACCTTCTTGCCTCTTATTCCCCTTTCCAACCCTTTTTTCCATGTCTCTTGCCATCCTGCTGGGTTGTTCGGTTGTTGCAAAATCCGGACGGGGTGTGGATTTCTTGGAGTTAATATTTTGCTGGTTTGGGGGGGATTTGCTTTAGGAAAGGTAAAAAGGAGACTGTGGGTGCTGGTTTATATCCTAGCTGGATGGAATGTCCCAGTTTTGTTGTGAAATTAAGCAAATTATGACTTTCACTCTGATGGTGATGCTGTTGGGTTTTCCTGGAGCTATCTCCTCTGTGATAGAATGTTGTACTGTAGGTGAGACCTGGGTGCTCAGTCCTTCCTGAGGGCTCTGGGTTGTGAGTGATGGCACCAGAGAGGCATCTGAGAAGCTTCTGACCTTCTCAGGAATGTGTTTTCTGGAGCTGGACGATCCTGGGGACCAGCCATCTGCAAACCTGGATTTTGGAAACAGTCAGCCTAGGTGTTGTGGGAGGAGTGAATGGAAATTCTTTCTCTAGCTCTGTTAAGAAAGCAAAACACCATGAGCATTTCATGCATTAATTATGAATAATCAAGCTCTGGCAGTTTGGCTTAGGACTGTTATATCCCTGAGGAGCAGGACAGCTCCTGGGTAAATCTGAAGCCTATGGACTTAGTTAATGCTACCTGGAGTTGAGAGCAGCACTTATGTGCTCAGATGTATTCTCAAAGACTGGGAAGACTCTGGGGCTGAGCTGATACTGGCTGGTATCCAGGGGGTCTCTTTGCCCTCTGAGGCCAGTTTAAATCAGCCTGTGAGCATCCCTGGCTTGGGCTGTTTAGTGGGCTGAAGATGGAGGGATCTGCTCTACCATGGCCAGGCCAGAGCTCAGCCCTGCTTGCTTGTAGCAGCTTTTGAATCTCCTATTTCTTCCCCTTTTAGAGTAAACATTTTTGAGAAAAGGGAAGTTAGGGCTGTTGCCCTTGGCTTTGCTGGTGGCTGGGTTAGGTGAGATCACAGAGTGTAGAAGTTGAGTTGCTCAGCATGGCCTTGCATGTCTGTGATCCTCCCCTCGCTGCTCATGGCCACGAAAGCCCCTGATGAAACCTGAGCCTCTTGGGTTGCTCTGAAAGCATTTTAGGCTTTCTCCATCCTTCCCTCCACCCTTTTCACATCTGTGTTGTAACAAAAGGCACTGCATGCCTTGCTGCTGGTTGGAAGCCTGAAAAGACACTCAGGGGTAGAGTTTGGGAGATGGATGTGTCAGATTTTGCTGGAGCAGGCAGTGATGGTTTTACCCACACCAGGTGTAGGCTGGCAGCAGCAAGTTTAAAATCTCCAGCTGCTGGGAGCCTGCCTGCCCCTCCTCGTGTGGGACTGTGTGTCACCCATGAGGACGTGATGCCAACCCCAAGGCTTGGTGACACTCACTGCTGTTAGCTCTGGGAGGCTGCTGTCCTGCACACTGCTTGGTCCCTCTCTGCCACCACCTGTAAGGGGCTGGGGAGGTGGAAAGTGCCTCTGTCACAACTTGAATCATGAGCCTGGGTTGGTGGTGGGAGCTTCACTGCATCAGCCCTCATTGTTGGGGTCTTGGCCCCCATCCAGGAGGACCAGGGGACAGCTGGGAGGGGATGGGGACGTGGCTGAGTGCCTCAGAGTCCTGCTGGCTGGGGGATGTGGGACTACCTGGCGTGATGATTTCTTTTCCTTTTGCTTGCTTTGTGATCCAAAGTGCACTTTTGAACAGTCACCTGATTCCCCCCTCCCTTCTTCTTCCCTTCACTTTTCATGCTTAAAAAGAAGACCCGTTTGTCACTTTCTCAAAGTTTTCTCTTTGCTAATATTTCCAAGGTAAATGGCTGTGGTGCATGTGGCTTTTCCTCACCCTCCTCCTGTCTCCTTAGACAACAGAGAGAACAGCTCAGCCTGCTCTGCCTTGTAGCCTGGCTGGGATTGCTGGGGCTTGTAGGAGCAGTTTAGGTAGTAAAAACATTAAAAAAACTCAAAAAAACAACAAACAAACACTAAACTGCCAAAAACCAAACAAAACAAAAAAAAAGAAGAGAATCCTTCCTTGCTGTTTCCTAGTCCTTTTTTCCCCTACCTTGTTTCATGTAGTTCTGTGAGTTGGGCAATGTCCTTGTGGTCCCCTGGGCTTTTCCTGGAGCAGATCTCTCCTGGGAGGCTGCTCTTGCTTGTGTGTAGCTGGTTGTCTCTGGTTTTGTGGTCCTCACCACGTGCTGGTGGGTACCTGTTGTCATCATTCTGTACCAGGGCTGTGTCTGGAGCGTGTCTCAGGCCCATGAGACCTCATGGAGTGTCACCAGTGCTGCTCTACCTCTCGTGGTGGGTGGGTCCTTGGCATGGCCAGCAGGAGCTGCCTGTTCTTGGCATTGCCAAGGATGGACAAACAATGGCCTTGGCAGGAAAGGGGGACACTGCCCACCCTCAAGGGGAGCAAGAGAGATGATTAATTGGGCTGCTTGATTGGGACTGTGGTCCCCTGTCACCTTGCCTTGACCAAAGAGCAGCTTCAGAAGTGCAGACAGGGTGGGGTGGGAGGGTGTGGATATTCTCAGTTCAGTAAAAGAAAGAACAGAGATGATTTCTCCCAGGCCAAGCCTGGGAAACTTGGAGAAAAGAATTAAAACAATTATTATCTCTCCTTCTGGAACCATTGTTTATAGATATGGTTCTCCAGAGTGTGCTATTCATAGGTCACCAATAGTGTGAGGGGTTTTTACTGTGAGACCAACCAAGTCTCACCTTAGCAAGTCCCATAGAATCACAGAATAATGAGGCTGGAAGAGACCTCTAAGGTCATCAAGTCCAACCCCATGCCCTTACACCTCAACCAGACTATAGCACCAAGTGCCATGTCCAGTCCCACTACCTTCATTAAATTGCCTTCTGATCCCTGGAGTCTTTCATTCTGTCCCTGACTCAACAGCATCAGGAGGGGTTCAGCTCAGATTTTAGGGATATATCTAAATTCTAACCCTGTAATTAAAGCCAGGCAGTGCTTGAGGAGGGGCTTGTGATGGTGTTCACAGGGGTCTTAGGATGAGGGAAGAGATGAGGATCTGACTCCATGTTTCAGAAGGCTGATTTATTATTTTATGATATATATTAAAACTATACTAAAAGAATAGAAGAAAGGATTTCATTAGAAGGCTAAGAATAGAAAAGGAAAGAACGATAACAAAGGTTTGTGGCTCAGACAGAGAGTCTGAGCCAGCTGAGTGTGATTGGCCATTAATTAGAAACAACCACATGAGCCCAATCCCAGATGCACCTGTTGCCTTCCACAGCAGCAGATAACCATTGGTTACATTTTGTTCCTGAGGCCTCTCAGCTTCTCAGGAGGAAAAATCCTAAGGAAAGGATTTTTCCTGAAAGATGTCTGTGGCAAGGAGCTGAGCAGTGGGTCAGTCACTGCCTCTCTCCTCGGCTGGGCAGTGTCCTCTCCTCTGTGGTGGGTGCTTTGTGGTGACCCATGTGTGGCTGTGTTCACGTGTTCTAGAAGCTGCTGCTAGGCTGGAGCCTGACCCCAACCCCTCCTTCCCCTCTCATTCCAGAACATGAACAACTCCCAGAAGCCGTCGTGACTCCGTGGGCTCCGCTGTGAGGCCGCCGGCGCCGCCAGCTTCCCATCCCATCGCCATTCCCGAAGCTTGCTTCCAACCCAGGCGGGGCTGGCTCTGCTCCCCCTGCCCCAAACCCTGCTCTGCTCGGCGGGGAGGGATGCAGGAGAGCCCAGGAGGAGCCCAGCTCCATCCCAGGGTCACCACCAGCTCTTCAGGCTGCAGCGTTTGCTCTCCTCTCCGGCGTCCTGTTAGGTCGTAGCGAGCTGTAAAGTGCTTCTGTAGTGCACAGGAGTTTCATTTCCTTCTCTTTTCAGTGGTTTTTGATCTTCTGTATAGATGATTGGTACCCATCTGTCTCTGGGTGGGGTGTGTATATATGTGGATGGTGCGGGGTTAGTAGAGAAATAGGGGGAAGGGGGGGTGGGTAAAAGGGGTTTTGCGTTATTTTTTTTTTAATTATTATTAATGTTGTTAATTACTTTTGAATAAGCCCCTAACATGCTGTGCTGCAGTCCCTCACCCACACTACAGCTGGTCACACATGCCAGCCTGGCTCATGCAGATCTGTGAGCACCAGGAAAAGCAGCTGTGTGAACTCCTTCACTGCAAGAACTGCTGGGTTTAATAAAAAAAACCAACCCATTCTTTCACTTTTTTTTTTTTTTTAATCAATATACCTTAAAGGGGTTTGCAGTTTTATCTGCTGCTAAAACTGGTTGAAAGATGCCTGCAGTGCATGAGGAACCATGCCAGCAGGGGCTTGGGTGATGCTTTCATCTTGGGGAGCACCCAGGGATGGTCTGAGTTCAGGCATGGGTTGAATTTTGGGGAGGCTGGGCACTGTTTGAGGTGCTGTGCTGGTACTTCATCTCCCCTTTCTTCTTTTTTAGATGGAAGTGGAGGTATTGGGAAGGGTTTGAATCCCTAGGCTTAGATGCATTTTGTAGACACACAGGTCTCATGGAGGTGGCCAGAGGTCTGGCTGGGTTGCAGGAGTCCCTGTCTGACTGCAAAGAGCCACAAGAAGGGACAGTTTTGTCTGTATTTTTTAAATTTTATATACACATGCACACACGTGTGTGTGTGTGTATGTGTATACTAAGAAACTGCTTGGTTTTTGCACTTTATTTGTGGCAGAAGCATAACTACTTTATTTTTTTCCTAGTTGTGCCCCTTAACGGGGAAGCCTGCATACAGGCAACTTTTTCTGTTTGTTTTTAATTGTATTTTGCATGCTGGAAAGCTGGGACTACAAAACAATAGTAGTTACAGTGTTTGAGGTGAGGGGAACAGGGTGAGGACCTGACTGACTCCATCAGCCAACTCCCAGTGTTTTGATCCATAAGATCCCTTTTTGGCAGCCTGTCCTGAGCTGGGAGACAGCAGTTAAAAATAGCAATTAACCACTATTGCTTTGTGCAAAAATCTGTGGATTTTGAATTTATTTTTTTTTTTATGGTTTTGGGTTGGGTTTTTTTTTTCCCTCCACCTATATGCAACATCTTCTCCATGCCCATCTCATGTGGTTTTGTTTTTTGGCTGGAGGGAGCCACCCCTCCTGCAGCACTAGGCTGGGGAACCGGGGGTGGGCAACCCTTTGGCTTCATCCTTCCCATGGCATTCCCCAGCGTCCTGTGTAGGGAACACCATCCCCAGAGATAGGATTGGTGGAGAAAAGATCTCTTAGTGGGTGTGTGCATGTTTTGGGGGTGGGTTTGGTCTGTTTTTTTCCTTTGGGAAAAGGTGAACCACAGTGCCTCGCGCTCCGCGCTGGAGCGGCACCGACGGCGGGAGGGCTCCGGGGCCACGCTCAGCCCGTGTCCCATGGGGTGACAGTCCTGGCACTGCCCTGCCTGTGTCAGCTTGTGCATATGTGTATCATATTCCTGTACAGATAAAACAAAGGACACTCCCCCCACCCCTGCTCTGCTTTATTTCTGTTTTAACAGCCTCATTAAAGGCAGACGTCTCCCTCCGTGCCCTGGGTGGCAGCTGCGCTTTTTGGGTTTCTCTGCCTTCCAGATAAATGAATGTTTTGGGCAGGCCACTCACTTGGCTCTTTTCAACTTCCTCCTTCGTGGGGAGTTTTATCTCTCTCCTCCTGCTGCTGCTGCTGCAAAAAGATAAGCCAGCAAATACAAACATGACGTCTGGCTGCCCCGAGATCGATCCCATACACGTGTAATTGCGCGGATGTTTTGGTGTGTGTTTGTGTGTGTATATATATATAAATATATATATATATAAAAAAATAAAAAACCCAAAATGGCCCTAAACTTTCATCCTTGAGTAGTAATAGATGTCTCAGTAGGTCTACAGAAATCTGGAATTTGAACATGGTGTTTTTTCCAGCTTTGGGAAAAATGCTTTCCTGAGTTTATCTTGTGCTGGAGGGGTTGGTGGGATGGTGTCAACCCTGTGCCATCACAACTGCCCCAAAACAATTGCTGTCCATCTTTTTAGTTAACAGAGCCAAGGACTGGGCAGTTGATGCCACAGCCAAGGCAGATTGGCAGTGAGGACATGTCAAACCACACCAATGATTTCTTCCCCCACCTTTCTTTTTTTTGCTCTCTGGTTTGTTTTCCTTTGTGATACTTGAATTTATTTTTTTAATTTTTTTTTTTTAAATAGCAAAGCGCTTTTTATTTATTTAATGTATACTGCAAAGCTTGGAGAGAAGGGTGTAGTTACTTGGGATTACTTTTTTTTTGGATTTGTGATATGTTAACTGCTCTGTATATACATCTGGAATAATTGCCTGATATAAAGCTGTGCCAGCTTAAAAACAGGGTATGCCTTTCAGAAATTTGTATATTTTGCAATTGCTGGACCAATAAAATATCTTGTTGAAATACAGATGTGATCTGCTTCTTCCTTGTGTCAGAATTCATGCTCTCATGCCCTAAGGGTCACCCTGTGCTGCCTTGCACATGTGTTCCTGTGCCTCATGAATAAAAATTCTCATAAAGGAGAGATTGTGGATGCTCCATGCCTAGAAGTATTCAAGGCTGAGTTGAAGGGGTCTTGGAGCACCTTGGTCTAGTGGAAGGTGTTTTTCAAACCATTCTATGAATTCTATAAGTGTTAACAGCTACTTAGAACAAGCAAATGCCCCCCAAGCTCTACATGCTGCATCACTCTTGGGTAGAAAAAGTGATGTATTGGAATTTGTCCTGCCAAATTAGGCAGAACTAGGCATTTATTGAAACCTAGTCTAGTTCTTGAAATCAAATACCTGGGTGCTGAGTGAAGGGCTGGACAAGAGCTGTCCCCTGAGATAAGGGCTCTCTGCCCTGAAGGCAGGAAAAGAGCAGCTGCCACCTGCAATTTAAATTCCCTGTAAAACTATGTGTGGGTTTTTTATCAATTAATTTAATATTCATTTATTGTTCCAGTGAAAAAGTAGAAGGCAGAGGAGGGTGTAATTTTTGGGAGCACACCTCGGGTGGATGCCTATTCTGTGACAAGAGGCTTGTCCCACTATGGGAGTTGTATCTCTAAAAGCTTGTGGGGAGCTGAAGGGCTAAAAGGTGCAGAATATTTTGTGCATCCCAGCTCAGCTCCGTGGTTTGGCTCCTGCTGGTGATGTGCAGCCCTTGCTCTGCTCTCCCCTGGGCTGGCAGAGCCTGTCAGGTCTTGCTTTGGGTCAGAGCTTTTTGGGGTGCACAGGGATCATCTGCCTTCTCCCAGCTGCTCTGTGCTCCAGGCCCTCTCACCAAGGAGGGTGTTCTCTCATTTTAAATGTGATTCAAGCACCTGCAATAACATTTTCTACGTGGACATGCTGAGGTGTGAGATTTTGGCCATGCTCATCCTTTTGTGCATCCTGAGGACAGGGAGGACCCCAGGAAATCCAGCAGCCGCTAGATTTTAATTATTTTTTTAGACATTCTTTTTATCTCTAGCAACTTGGCTGTCTCCTTGAACCAGGCAGAGACACAACACTTGTTCTAGGGCAATGAACATGGCCTTGCACCAGCCTCACAGGGAGCCCTGCAGGGGCTCTGATAACGCCTCCAGCCGGGGTGGGCTGAGGTCACACGAAGCCACAACATCAGAGCAGCTCCCCTGCCCTCCCCAGGGGCTCTTTGGAAGCCCTGATAAATCCTTGTCCTTGTGGGAAGAGCACAGGGGGGAGGGTTTTGCCTCCCTGAGAATGGCTCTGGGCAGCATTTCCAAGGTTTCTCCTCCAAAAATCTGTTCTCTTTTCCATGTGCAGGATGGGGCTTGTGTCACACCACCCCCAAAGTGAGGGAGGGGAGCCAGTGCCATCCCAGGCAGCAGCATCCTTTATTTTCCTTCCAAGTGATGCATTTTGTAGCAGCATCCCAGAGAGGAGAAGCTCCTCCAGGCAGTGCAGCCTTAAAGGTTATACTCTGACAGCAGGAACATTTCCCTGCTCCCAGTCAAGCCCCATTTTTATTAAAAAAAAAAAAAGAAAAAAAAAGAAAGAAAAAAAAAAGAATAACCCCCCAGCTCCCTGCTGGCAAACAAGGCGAGAGAACTTGTGATGGCTTAAAAAAAAAATAAAAAGGGCAGAGCAGTCACGCTGGCTGACTCAGCTGTGATTGATGGCTCAGGAATGTGTCTGGGATTAACTCAACCACGGGCAAACCTTCCCAATGCAACACATTGGATGGAGCACAGCCGGCAGCGCTCACCTGCCTGCGGCTGGGGAGTGGCTGCCCTCGCTCATGGGGTTGGAAGGGTTTTTCTTCTTTTTTATCCATCTGTGAGGAAAAAGATAAAAAGGAACGGCTGCTTTCGGGAATGGCTTTGCAAGGGACTCTAATAGGAATTATTTGTAATATTTCCAGGCACACTCGGGCAGTTTTGTTGCAACCAAGACGTCCTGGGAGGGAATATATTTATGTTGAGATATGGCATAAATCTTCTCCCCTTTGTTGGTTTTTAGATGAAAGTGGGGAAGGGTTTGAATCCCCAGGCTTAGAGGCATTTTGTAGACACACAGGTCTCATGGAGGTGGCCAGAGATCCGGCTGGGTTCTAGCTCTGTGGAAATCAGTCCTGCTGCTCCCAAACTCTGCCAAATGTCAGGGGCCCTTCCCCATCCCCAGGGAAGCTCCTGCTGCATTCATGGATAATGGAAAGCTGTGTGGATGTGAATATTTTTCCCCTCACATTTCCCTTGTCTGTGTGTCCAACTGTGTCCTCTTTGAGGCTGAGTGGTGTGGTGAGTAGAAAAAAGTGTATCAAAAATGAATTTATTTGTCAGCAATGCTGAAAGACGTGGATGGAGGAGTAGTGGTAAGAGTCAACACCAAAGGCATTGACATAATCCCATAAACCTGATCTAGTTGAAGATGTTCCTGCTCATTGCAGGGGGGTTGGACAAGATAACCTCTAAATGTCCTTTCCAAGCCAAACCATCCTATGATTCTGCTCT